AAAATAAATAATTATGTAGTTTTTAGAAAAATTGAATGAAACATGCAAAATAATTACTTGATCTTGTTATGTCCATAAATCCATTCAATTTTGCTATTACATATTTACTTATCTTATTTTAATTTAATTTTTAGAATAAAACAAGCAAATACATTGGAACTGAATTGAATACTTTATTAAATAGTATGTTTTAATTCCTATATGTTGATTATAATATATTTTTTTCATAAAACCCACAAACATATTATTTCTATATATAAATATCCCATTTATGTCATATATTTAGTGATACTGATGTTTATTTATGATTTATTGAAGTATTTATAGCATTTACATGTGTTTCCATGCGTATCTTAATTTTTCATCCGTATCCATGTGTATCCAAAATGTATCCCGATACGTCTCTTATATTTGCCTTTCCAATACGCATAGCGTTTCCGATACTTGGAACCTTGGTTTCAACCAACTCCAAGCTTGTACAATGCACATAAAGTCAGTGCTAATATTATATGTAATCTTTCAGAATATATTTTCTGGAAATATATATTTAAAATCAAAACATATATACAATTATATTGGAATATACTTTCTAATTTTTGAAAATATATATCTGATATATTTCAGAATATATATTTTTTCAGATATATATTTATTATTTAAAACTATCTATATTTAACAGATATTTTTTCAAATAACTCGGTTCGTTTCAATTCAGTTTTCACACATAAAAACCAAAATCAAGCCAAATTATCGGTTTAATTATCTTTGCAACCCAAAACCGACCCGTAGTGAAAAAAACCAACTCAGGTTGGGTCGGGCTGGGTTGATCAGTTTGGTCGGTTTGGATTTATATGTGAACAGCCCTAGTTAAAGGTTCCACAATTTTCAAATCCAGTATTGCTTACTAACGAGTAATGATATCAATTTAGGTGAGTCTTCAAGATCTTGTCTACTCCTAGTCAATTAAGGAACTGGCAACATTAACTTCAAACTGTAGGTACGAATTTATAATCCTCTCACCTTTCTAATATGGAAGTCCACTGCTTTTGAGTTTTGATCTATATATCTTAATTAAGAGCTGAGGTGATTTTCCATTTAAAATGAAACCCCCCAAAAAATTATTAATAATAAGATCAAGCAGAACGAAGAGGATTAAAATTGCAGATGAACAAGGCTTAATTTGATCTGGTCTCAAATTGCAGATGAACTAGGCTTGACCTTCTCTCTTAGGAAGTGCAGCAAATGTTCACGTTTCCAGTTGTCAACTCTGCAAATAAGATAAACCAAGGCAATATAAGTAAAATGAAATAAACTATAGCTTTAAAACATACAAAAAAAAAAAGAAAAAAAATGAGTGAAATATGAAAACTAGTGGAACCACCTGAACTCCTGAACTAAAGGTCTAAAGCCACATATAAAAAGGGGATTAAAAGGCAAGAAAATAGCAACAAGGTTAACGTTTGGACGATCAAATATATTTGCATCATC